CTGTGATATTTTCATGACATCTTTAAATTACAATACACAATAACCCCTTTGGGCAAGTGATTGTATATTATAATTTAAAGATCTCCCCGTAACAAAAACATAAGAATAATCTATAAATTTTAATGAATGAATCACTTTGATGGCAATCATCCATCTTAATCTATAGAATATCTCAAACTAGGATATTATAACAAATATTCATAATTAAATATCATGTGATCAATCAATATGAGGTACTAACCGATATTTACCTCTATAGATCACTTATCATCGATCGTTGCATTCAAATCTCAATTTTATTTTAATTATTAAAATTAATTAAGTAATTTATATTCACATCTACCAACATTAATAAATAATATGTAGATCATAAAAAAAATATTTCATCGTGTAAATAACTAGGGATTAGGATTGGAGTTGTACAAACACCCTCTACAAATTACAACAATCCAATCAAATTTTGTATTAATTTGAGAAAATAATTAATTGATATCAATAATTTGTATGAATGAAGCATGTATCTATTCGTCAATTAGACTCATAAAGAATTAAAAAATAAATTTAACATGCTGAACGAATATGACATATTCAATAATGATTTCAACATAAACATCACAAAATAAACCATATTCTTATTGTTTTAATATATATATATATATATATATATTGACTTTGATGGTAAGCATCTCAAATTTGATTAAAAAAAAATTGTCGTCATTCATCATCAATTCTTTCACCATTTTTTTTTTGTTTTCTTTAAAGGTGATGTACATGACTCCATCCATACTTTCACCCCCGTTTTTTTTTTTGGGTTCATGCCAATTTGATTACACCAACCGTCATCACATGCTTTCAACCTCTTTTTTTTTCTTTATTAAAAGTGACATAATTTGTTTCAACATGGCCATGGATGGCCACTGTGATATTAACGACTATGTGATTTGAGAAAAATTAGTATTGTCAACGTCACAAAAAATAGGTTTTGAAATTCTCAACTTGTATGAATAAAATTATAAAATAAATTTTATTAGGTTCTAAATTCATATACGATGACTATGGTACTGCTTGTAAGAATTGATTAATGATTCGTATATGAAATTTAGAACACTTAAATTATGAGGTTTAGAACATATCTGTATGAATCATGATATTCGATCTTCAGGTTTTTTTCGTGGAAGGGGAAAGTCTTCCGCTCCTTCTTCAAAGTAATAGGCGGCTCTCAATGGAATAAGTCAAATTAGGTTATGAAGTGGAAAGGGGACCTAGTCTCCTGTTTGCAATGAATCTAATGAACTCTCTCATTATGGGTCATAATTAAATTAAGACCTACACTTAACCGCATCTATCATATCAATTAAAAGGATGTACATAAGCCCATCAAAATAGATTATTTAACACTATTGAGCTCATCTCATTGGATCATAAATTTAGCCCGTTTTTCACAAACTTAAAAATTAACTATCGATGGAAGTTTAATATGGAAAAATTCCAGCACAACCCAGTCAACATACCCACTGAGCCACCTATGTAATATTTCTTTGGGATGCACATATATTCAACACTGCAATGTAGTTCTATATTGAGTAAAGTTGACCGTGTTGTTGATCATAATATGATAAAATTATTAAAATATATTATAATGCAGCCCAATGGTTTAGATAATGCAAAAAACAACCGAAAGTTTTAATATAAACATATTATAATGCAGAAAAATAAGAAAAAAAAAATTACAATATATAATACAATCAAGGAATATAAAATTTTATCAACACAACAAACCAAACTTCAGGTTATTGAATAACAAAAAATAGTGCATCCCAATGAATAAATAATGTTTTAAAAAAGAGTAACTTACAATACATTCCATATAGGTCAACCTGACTCGTCTCCAAGTCGCAACGCCCATTCCATCGATAGATGGTTATCAAATTATGGCTCAATCAGCTTATGTTAGGCCTTACACTTGATCACTGGTTTTGATATGTGAAATTAGGGTTCCATTGTGATCCAGTTATGGATGAGAGAAGGGGAGATTGAATGGACGCTTCCATTAGGGTTTGGTAGTTGCCAAATAAGGGCCTATTTTGTTGGTTTTTTGGGAGAGGTTTGGATTGGCTTGTCCAAACCCTTTCAAACTCAAACCCCTTTTTATAAAAACGAGATTCAATATTCAATTCTGTTCATACCTATGTTTGGTATGCGCACGGATATATTACTATTTGGATACCCATTGTAGTTCAAGATCTAACCAAAAACTTTCCAAGAGAATAGTTTATTCTCTCAAGATAAATACTATCTTTTATGACTTAGGAGACTAGGTAACTATCATTCTTATACCTAGAGAGGTACCCTCATCCGACATCTTCCTTCATGCTTTATAATTTTCTTGACAAACCATTTATTAAATATATAATTTGTGATCAAAAAATAAAAAAGACTTGGTTCGATTTTCTCTCTGTTGTTGTTTGATGGACTTGATGGAGAAAAGTACGGGAGCTGAATTATGAATTCTCTTTGGGTCAAATGTCATCATAGACTTGCTAACTCATGAAAACATGTTTAACATATGTAATGTTTTTCTTAAAAAGATAAAAGTCCAAAATAAATACAATTTCTTAGGTTTAAGTCATTTTCAATGCAGCAGCCAGCAGCCCCCAGCCTCTTCGCCTTCAACAAATACATTTTGTCTTTTCCTCGCACATCTCTTTCAATATATTTATTTGCTCTTCTACTTTTTTTTTTTTTTTGTAAATCATCTACTATTAATAAACGAACTTGTATATAATCAATCTCATTTTAATGTATGATAGATAACCAATAAAAAAGATATTGAAGAGAAAACATAGTGAATAAGATATCACTCAAGAACTATTAGTCGTGTTTTTTTTTTAAAGATAATTTTCTTGAATTCCCTTAGAATCCATGTGGATTAACTTCTAAACAGGAAAAAAAACGCATCTTTATTCTTCACAAAACATTCCCACTTTTTGCCAATAATTCTTGGCTAATATTCCATGGACTAGCAAATTTTCTAGCAACAGAAGACTTCTAGATGGTCAAAAAACACATAGAAAGATTATACAAGTAAGCCATCTACTTTGAATGAGGAATATTATATATTTATACTTTGTCCTCTTAAATTATTTATAAACTTACTTTAAAACATGGTTAATCAAGTATATTCATGTTTGAAGAAAACCCCATTTGCTTCAGACTCCATATATCTTCTGAATCTATACAGATATACTTGATCAATCAAAACACAAAAATTAATTTAAGTTTATTTGCATAACATTCAAATACTTACTGGCATATGCATAACATTCAGAAATTCAACATTCAATCAGTGCATTGCACAAAAGAGAAAATAGTGAAGTGAATCAAACGAAAGAGAGATGTAGCATGATTTATAGTAGCAGCATAAATATCGTATCGTTTTGCATAGATACTTGATCAATCAAAACACAAAAATTGAACATTAATTTTTCATAAAACCTAACGGAGAAAAAGGTATGAACAAAAACCATATTTCACCAATATTTTCACTAACCTCCAAATCTCTAATGCATTGCTCAGTACAGACAACCACCCCTAACCCAACCCTCACAGATGCTCAATGTAAATGCGAAACTACAACATTAAGACCTAGGCAAAATTAAAAAATGGATAACAAAATTAAGTCTAAGATATTACCAATAACAAAAATAAAAACAAATTTCACAGCATTCCAAACAACCACCCCAGCCTAGCCCACTGATGAATAGTGTCTCCCACCCCAATAACTATTTCTAGGGTTTTATTTCTACACCCTATTTCTTAATACCACAGTCAAATTTTTGTTCTTTTTCACAATTTTTTTTGTTCCAACTATTTCATCTGAATCGAATGTGGTGAATTTTTCTGAGAAACGGTCAAACACAAATCTAAGAAAAATCTTCAAACATCAAACAACTAGCTATCAAAATTGGCAGATCTGCAAAAATATTTGTCAAAAGCAAACAAAGAGATTCTCAGTGAGTTTTCGATGGGTTTGCTAGATTGAATTAAGGTGCCCTCAAGGATTTTGCGAAGAAGAGAAGTATTACCTCGGCTTGATGTGTTTCGATCGAACAATAGGAAACTCAACAGTGATTGATTGATATAGACCGAAGTATATCTTTGCAACAGATTTCCCACAGATTTGCCAAAGATTTTTTGCAAATCAAACAACAGGAGGGGATGATTTCTTCAATCATTTCCAGCGAACAACAAGAGGGGTCTCTACATTCGGTCTTTCCCACAAATTTCCCAAAGATTTTTTGCTGGTCAGTGTATTTCCCAGAAGAATCTTATTTGTGTTGATCGATCGTAGGTCAGTTCTTTAGTAACTCTGTGGGTATCTTGTGTCTGTGTTGATCGATGGAGGTCAGTTCAGAGAGATGTGTGAATAGGATAATATAGGGTATATGGAATATATGAGTATAAATATCATTTGCATGTTCAACCCCTTAAACCACATATGAAACCCATCCTTCCACCGGGTTTCACAAAAACCATTAATTTCTGGGCCTAAAACGAACTGAGTTTCAAACCTTGGGTTAGCTATGTATTTGACAAACATGGATTTGTTGGGTTTTGTTTTCCAACCCATGTTCTCAAACCCACATATCAAATAAGTCCTAAATGTTTTGACTTTAATACCCCTGATTGTTGAACGCATGTGAAACTCACGTGCAACTTCTGTCTATAATTTAGACGGTTGTTAACAGAATAACCAGGTTGCTACAAATCAAGTAATTCGAGGGCTATTATAGCAATGTGTGAGTGTTATTGACAGAAAAATTAGAGTTTAGGGGCCATTAGTGTAATTTATTCAAAGTTATATAATTTAAAAAGTGATTTTGTATTGAAAAAAAGTCCATTGGAGATACTTTGACTATAGCAATAGATAAACATTTTTTATATGAACTATTATTAGATGATGATTCAACATCCCGTATTTCAAAAAAACTATTAAAAATTTATTTCTTAATGCAACATCCAAGTACTCATTATACACCTCTTGTCAAGAGATTTTTATGGGATTAAGCAACCATTGATTTAGTGTTTTTTTAATTCAAATTCAAACATATTTAAATTCGATATAACTTCGTTTACCCCATTAGTTATTTTACGATTAAGCTCCTGCCCAGCAACAAGTCCAAAATGTTTTTCTCCCCAAATCTGCCCAGCACAATTTATGGCCTAGACGCTTTGATGGTTGCTAACTTGGAAATCCTTTGGAAGCCCCTGTGGAAACCGAGGATTCAAAGAGTTGTATACCCAATTGACATTCACTTCTTCAAGCATACTAGTACTGTCCTCTCCCTCCAGCGATCGTAACGAATGTTTTTGGTACTTTTCCAACTTTGCACGTGAGCTGTTTGTATAAATGCTTATGAGGAAACTACGATCCTAATAACGTTATGTGCGTTTTCGCATATTGGTTTTATGATTACGCTTTCTGGTTACTGAGAAACTGAAAAGGAGAAAAATAATGAGACGCCAAGTTGTAAGTTTCACGTTGTAGAAGGTTGAAGAACTCTAAGCCAAGTGAGCTTAGTGGTGCATTGCATTAGGCACATTCCAACGCAGACATTTTGTTTTATTGCATCTTAATTTGCGTCTTGAGTACACCCACATGCTGTTTTTGCATTTTTCATGGTTTCTGAGAGCTACCCATATCTGTTTGTGGGCGTGAATCATTGTAGTTACCATTTTGAAAGCCTGCCTAAAGTCATTTAGACTTAGGATTTGACTACCCTTGCTTTCTTGCTGCAAGTGCTGACTGTTTACGGTCTGTGGCAGGAGTTTTAAACTACAATTGAGAATGCTAAAGAGCATGAGTGAAGGTATTCGAGTATGAACTATGAAGGCAGTCACTTGTTGCAAATTTTGTTTCAGGTCAGGTATGTATGTAATCCACCACTTCGAGCACCCCTCATTGGTTGGACCACTACAAGAAATGGCCTTTTGTGAAAAAGAACATTGCGGCCTTCGCTTCTTGTATTGCTGTCAATGATATAGTCCTGTACACAGTATTCAATGTACGATTAAAGTTATCACAAAGTGGCTGTTTTCATGGACTTGTTTGAATGAGTTAAGATATTTGGAAGTATGCTTGAACTTGACGTTAGAACAACATGATTGTAGGCCGATGTGTGGATGGTAGGAATGATCACTGAAGCTTTTGTTTTCATGGGCTTATTTGAAAGAGAGAAGATATTTGATATGTTGGAATTTGATGTTGGAGCACCGTGATTATGGGCTGTTGTGTGGATGGTGGGAATGATGAAAGAAGTTTCTTCCCTCTTCTTTCAAAAGATACGATGTTCTGTAGGCTTTAAACCAGATTATAAAGACTTTGCAGCCACACTTAAATCTTGTGCGGCTGTCTCAGACGTCAAATTGGGAAAAGCTCTTCATAGTCATGCTGTTAAACTAGGTCATTACTCCTGCCAATTTGTTTCCAAGGCACTGCTTAACATGTATGCTAAGTGTAAAGCTTTTGACGATTGCCAGAAATTGTTCTATCAAATAAACCATTGTGATGTAGTCATGTGGAATATTGTCTTATCTGGGTTTTCTGGGTCTCGAATTCATGACACTGAGGTGATGAGGCTGTTTTATGCAATGCATATAGGCGAGGACCCTAAGCCCAACTCTATTAGTATTGCTATCATTCTTCCTGTGTGTGCACGTTCAGGAGCATTGAGTGTTGGGAAGAGTGTGCACTCTTATGTTATAAGATCTGGATTGGTATCGGAAACACTGGTAGGAAATGCTCTGGTATCCATGTATGCCAAAGCTGCATGTGTATGTAACGATGCATATGCTGTTTTCCGAGGAATGGCGGACAAAGATGTCGTTACGTGGAATGCAATGATTGCAGGATTTGCAGAGAATAAGCTCATGGATGATGCATTTAATTTGTTTCGTTTGATGCTGAAAGGACCAATACAACCTAATTATGCGACAATTGCGAATATTCTGCCTGTCTGTGCTTTTTTAGAGGAGAATATGGCATATCACACTGGGAAAGAAATCCATTCTTATGTGCTGCGACAGACAGATTTGATAGCAGATCTTTCTGTCATCAATGCTCTTATGAGCTTCTACTTGAAAATTGGACGAGTCAAAGAAGCGGAATTCTTGTTCCGGCTGATGAATGTGAGAGATTTGGTTTCATGGAACTCTATCATCGCTGGGTATGCCTCAAATGGTGAGTGTTTGAAAGCATTGGAATCATTTCTGAAATTTCTATCCATGGAGATGACTGGACCAGATTCTGTCACTCTTGTCAGCATTCTTCCTGCCTGTGCCTCTTTGTATTATTTGCATGTGGGGAAGCAGATCCATGGTTATATTATCCAGCATCCTGGTCAATGTGACGATACAGCAGTTGGGAATGCCCTAATAAGTTTTTATGCAAAATGTAGTGACATAGAATCTGCATTCCGAACTTTTTTATTGATTTACAAGAAAGACTTGATATCATGGAATGCAATGCTAGATGCCTTTGCTGAGAGACAGCTTGAAATTCGGTTTGTTGAGCTTTTACACTGTATGTTCAGAGAAGGGATAAGGCCTGACTCCGTTACCATGTTAATTATGATTCAATTTTGTGCTACTGCTTGTAAAGTGAATAAGGTCAAAGAAGTTCATGGTTTATCAATAAGGTCTGGTCTCTTACACAGTGATAGTGAACCTACTCTTGGAAATGCAATAATTGATGCGTATGCAAAAGGTGGCAACATGGAGTATGCATCAGAGATTTTTGAGAGTTTATCAGGAAAGAGGAATGTGGTCACGTGCAACTCATTGATCTCAGGATATGTCAGTTATGGTTCACATGGTGACGCAGATATGATTTTCAGGAGAATGTCAGAAAGGGATCTCACCACTTGGAATCTGATGGTTAGAGTTTATGCTGAAAATGACTGTCCTGCTCAGGCTCTTAGTCTGTTCCATGAGTTGCAAAAGCATGGGGTAAAGCCTGATGCGATGACTATAATGAGCATTCTTCCTGTTTGTGCTCAAATGGCCTCAGCCCATCTGCTGAGGCAGTGCCATGGATATGTGGTTAGGGCATGTTTCAAGGATATTCATTTGAAGGGAGCTCTATTAGATGTCTATTCAAAATGTGGAACTATTGAGTGTGCATATAAGCTCTTCCACTCAACTCCTCATAAAGATCTGATTATGTTTACAGCAATGGTTGGAGGGTATGCTATGCATGGCATGGGAGAAGAAGCTCTCAGGATTTTCTTTCATATGCTTGAATTGCGTATAAGGCCAGATCATGTTATAATAACAGCAGTCTTATCTGCTTGCAGCCATGCTGGCCTCGTGGATGAAGGGTTGAGGATTTTTTATTCAATAGAAGAGATATATGGGATAAAACCAACCATGGAGCAATATGCTTGTGTGGTGGATCTCCTTTCTCGAGGAGGCCAAGTCAGAGATGCATATTCTTTTGTAGTTGGAATGCCCATTGAAGCTAATGCTAATATATGGGGAACACTACTGGGTGCTTGTAGAACCCACCATGATGTAGAAATGGGATGTATCGTGGCTGATCACCTTTTTAAGGTCAAAAGTGACGATATTGGAAACTACATTGTTATGTCAAACTTATATGCTTCAAATTCTAAATGGGATGGGGTTCTGGAGATACGGAAGCTGATGAGGATGAGAGATCTGAAAAAGCCTGCTGGATGCAGTTGGATTGAAGTGGAAAGAAGAAAAAATGTATTTATGGCTGGAGATTATTCTCACCCGCAAAGAAGCATTATTTACAGCATACTTAGTCTCTTGGATCAACAAAGCAAAGAGTTATATCAGTTCTGAGTGAGGTAACCTGTAACAATTGGCATTTCAAGTGTCATGTAAAGCCCACGTGTGGAATTTCTTCAGAAACAGCCGTTCAAAAAAGAATTTTCAAGGGCTCCAAAAGGCAGAATCGTTGTTTGGATTTGGCTTGGAGATGCACCATTCTACTTGCAGAGTCTTACTGAATTAGTTGCGGTAGTCCTATATAAAATAGAGAGAACTTTGCTCAAGGTCAACTCAATGACATGGTTTCTGCTACTTCAAATTGCAAAGCAGTACACATGCTCTCAAATCAAATATAACCTTGAATTCTGCAAGGTATAATGAGCATGTTTTGAGATTTTTACATGATGCATTTATGAAGTAGCTGAAAGTAAGTAGTCAAACAGGTTTTGTTCCGTACCCTTTTGTTTTTATCAAGACTTGATTGTTGAAAAATATGCTTTTATGAATAATCGTCTAATTTTTAACACATGTTGGATACTAAAGTATGAGTATTTCAAATAATCAAATTGTGAGGATGTAGGTTTGAACACGTATAACTATTCCATGCTTGTCAGTCTATGCCTTCAAACGTCACCACACAGAAATGGCCTACATAATTGCCTTTATTTTTGTGTAAATTTGTTTTGTGGTGAGGGATGTAAGTGGGTTTCTGATGGCTTTTATATAGTTAAAAGTTGTTGCTTGGTTGACCCCACTTTGAAGTTGAGCTTCATGATCGTTTTAGGTATAAAATTGGTGCCCTTCCTCTTTTGAAAAATGCTAAAGGCTAATTCTAGTCACAGCTCTGCAGCTAGTGGAGCACTCCAGTGAGATATCAATACTTTAAATACTTTGACTAATTTCTGTTCTAGGCGATCTGATAGAACCACCCCATCAAGGAGAATGCCTAGCACATCCAAGGATAGTAGGAGAAGAAAGAAGATGAGACATCTGCGTGTACCCATGTGGGTAGGAGGGTTTTGACATTGAGATGCATGATGTGTTTGGACACAACGGGAGAAAATGTCAAAGAGCTCCTTTGAGAGATAGATGAAGAGGATTACGGAGAGGCAGAAAGCAATCAAGTATACTACTTTTTTAAAGTTCATTAATGACGTCTAATAGCAAATTTATTCTGATGGTGATTGGTAAATTTGCCAGAGGATTGTCAGTGGTTGCCAGTCACAGAACATTCTGACGTAGGTATGCACTTTTTTCATTTATGGCATTTTCTTTCCATAGATTTCGTTAATTGTTTCAAATGTATAACTTCTGTGCAATTTTCAGATAGGTAGGGATGGGGCAGAGGAAGAGGAAGAGGAAGAGGGAGAAGACGTGCATCAGATGTTGAAACTTCTAGGTCTCAGACAAGCACTGGTGGTTTAAGTGTAAGTTTCATTTAAATTTCAGTAGTTTTTGGCTGAAATTTGTAATGGAGTTGTCTGACGACATTACAATATTTTTATGTGAATGTATAGTGAGGAGAGTGGAGAGCTCCTTGAACTTCAAAGTCTCAGGGTAATACTGATGCTATAGAGGTGAGTCGCAACCCTACTTAATTGACATGGGAATGTGTTATTAACATTCTCAGTATTTATGTGCACATGGAGTTGATCTGTGACAAAGGGTCTGGGGACAGGCGAACAATCTAGGGCATGTTTTAGAATTAGGTGGGCTCCTCTAATCTTACTCAATCCAATTCCCACATTCACTTTTTCATATATACATTACTGTTTCCTGTTCCATTTTATATACTGTCGAATTGGAAGTAAAGCAAGCTTCTCTGAAGCTGAAATTCTTTTTTTTTTTTTTTTTTTTTGTGCCAACCTGAAAGTGGGAAATGATACTATTGCTTTGTGCATTATTTATTAGCCTGACAGATGATACTGATGAAACAGTCGTAGTTTTTTGGTGTGTACAGAAATTTCTTGTACGGCACATGTTAGGCTGAGAGGTGATGATCATTGGACGTTGTGTTGAATCTGAGATTTTCGGTTGTGCACAAACATCCTGCTCACTGGAAGTGTTTTTTAATATGAATTCTGCAGATGTTTTTTGTTGTACTGTTAGGCAATGAGATGAAGGTGTATACTGCTTCCACATCTATTTTTTGACAAATGATGATACAAAATCTACTTGTTAATCTATGGAATCTCTGTTTTACTGATATATCCTCGGTAACTTCATTGTTCTGCAACCAGTGCTTTTTGTTGCCTTATTATTCTGGTTACTGCAAAATGTGCTTGTTTCTGGGCTAGTACGTCGAGGTCCCAAATTCGAGTCCTACCCTTGTCTGATGCCATGGTTTGACAAAGTAACTGTACGCATATGTAAGTGACATGATAGCCACATGTCTAAATGGTGTTTGGTTCAGATGATTCCGCATTAGCTTAGTACAACGAAAAGACAAAACAACTGTCCTGAGACTGTATCTTACTAATCAGGGACCGGGTATCAAAAGAAGGTTCTTATTCCCCTTTCCATAAGCTAATGTGGAAGATGGTCATGTTCTGATCTCATCAGCTCTACATGCTTTGCTCTCTTTTATAGACTTGAGTACTACGTCGCAGGACATTCCAAGTCTGCAACTCAACACTTGAGGTGGTGCGTAACAGGTTCAAGTTTTAAAAATCGACTGTGCACGAGAGGTAAGAGCTGCATATGTCAGACCCTTACTAAACCTTATATTGATGTGAACATCTTGCACTGAAGTTCCCTTTTTTTTCCATCTCTCTTCTTCTTGTTGCCTGACATCTAAGACCGAACTCTTGAGCATCACTATCCTTCTCCAATTCTACTGAACGGTGGTTAACTCATCCTTAGGGTGATTAGATGATCTTAATGTAGGAGAGATTCAAGTTGAGATCCACTTTAGCTCGACCCATGCTTCTCTCATTTGGGTCTCAACTCTGAATCGATTTGGTTGAAAACTTGTTAAAGATTGATTCGTGAGATAAACAAACTAAACTTGAGATACATTTGGAGTTTGTCAAAAATTCGGGCCGACTCTTATCAACCCACTACATGGAGCCCATGCATAAAGAAAAATTTATTGTATAAAGGGATTCATCAAATTCAATCATGGTAACTGTCCAGCATGACGGAAATTAGCCCAATACAGAACAATACAAATGGAACACAAAACACTTGTGTTAAACCATTAGAAACAACAAAATCTACATCCATTATTACAAACCCTCTAACGTCACAAATCATTTAAAACAAAATAACGGCACAGATCATTTGCATTCGATAACTTATCTTACAACTTGCATTTTAATCTTTTAGCTACAATCGTGCATTTATTTGTTTGACTATAGTAAACTTTTTTAATCACGTTAAAAAAAGAAACGTATTTTTGCTTGGGTACCCTAGTACACAACAAAACAAAACTATTTTGATCAGTCTAACATTATATTTTTCTAATAAATAATGCTATGTAAGAATCATATTTGTAATTGGCTAATGTTATGAAGTTTTTGTGTAAATCTCAACCAATTACATGGTCATGATATTACAAAGATAAAAGATCTGAAAGAGTCAAATGGAAGGGAGGAGTTCATGCTTCAAGCAACATCAAGAGATTCTCGGAATATACTTTTTTGCTTAGGACAAAGGTAATAAAATTAGAGACCTAAGAACCCTTGGCTTAGTTACTTAGACCTAGAATGATTAGAGTTAAAATGGAATTGGTACGTGATCTGAGTATGGCTCCTAGGGATTTTTCAAAGAAAAGTTTTTCTAAACCTTTATTGTTTTTTGAAAATATAATTTGAGTCATAATTCGACCTTACTTGAGGAACACCTTTTAGTGCTTAAGAAAATAAGGTTTTTTACTTAGTATTAGGCTTAAAAAATCAGTAGAAAACGTCATATGTTCACTAGTCTTCACTAGAACAGTCTCTGAACACTAAAGGATAAAATTGAGAAAGGCTAATGAGTGGAGCAATAAAAGTCACTATCTGGGTCGCTCAAGCGGTCCCTGCTTTTTTGTTATGGTTTGAATCTTTTTTTTATTCCAACAGCCACCACTCTGTCACTGTTTGAGTGATTGTTCACAAATTTGTGTTTTCTTGGACCTCAAGACAAACCTTATTCCTAGGTTATAAATAAAGGGAACCTCCCAAAGCTTGGGGATCTTTCTTGTGAGCTTATTTCTTGCCTCTAAACTTTGAAAGATCATTGTGCAACTCTAGATCCCTAAACTTAAAGGTTAACTCACGTTGTGATTTTTATCCAAACTCACACATTATAGAGAAGAAGAATTTGTTTGCTGCTGCCAAAACCCACTTGTTGAAGTGTGCGTTCCAAGAATCTTGGTAGAAAAGATTGCTCGAGGTTGAAACATTCATTGTGGTGGAGAATTCAAGTGAAGCTATCCATAAAATCGTAGAAGAATTTTCGCAAGGGAGGTTTATTGAAGGAAATAAGCATCTAACTATAGTATTAGTTGAAGTATAACTCTCGAGTATGAGTACTTGTAAATTGACTTTGAGATAGTAGATTAAGCTTTTGTGAACCCAAGAGTGGTTACCTGTTGAGAGTTTTTGCGTCCAAAAATTGAGATAATTCATGATCGATCATGAAATGTTGTGATTGATCATAAATTACTTCAATCAACTGTTGCTTCTTTTTGAATTATAACTTACTTCTTTTATTATCGATCACAATATTTTGTGATTGATCACTATCCTTCAAAATTATAACCTACACTTCAAAAAATTATAACTTATTGTTAAAACATTAAAGTTTTTGTATACGGTATATATTTTGATACTGTAGTCTTCTTCCACATCTCATAATAAACGATACCACCCAAGAAACAAAAAATAAAAATATAGAATGATCTAACTATTAAACTGGACCAGTTTAGGTACCAGTTCATCGGTTCACTAGATTGACCCTTCAGTCTGGTCTGGTTTTAATAATAGTAAGTGTGTGGGTTGATCTCCATCGTTGCTTAATCCGTTTGAAGTGAAACCATCCGTGGAGCGAAACGTCTGTAGCAAACCAGACTACTGTGCAAGCGTCTTCTAGGAAAAAACATTGTTCGATAATTTGGTTTCTAGCAAACTGAATGCAAATGTAGACGATTTTGAACCGATATTCTATATGTGCTCAAGAAATATAGTTATGGCTTTTGAAGTTTACAATTATATGAAGGAACACGCATTGAAGCTCAAGCCCGCTACAGTTAAATCTTTTGGTGGAAATTGCTCTGGCTAACTAGAACAAAAATTTGGCCTTGGAATTAGCCAACTAGCTCGATCAGGATGGGGAGAAGGAACGGAAATTAAAGATTTTTTGATTAATTCTACACTTTTTTTTGCTTTTATGGGAATGCCACAAAGCGTACGAGGTGGAGAATATCATGGTCAGTGAGGACGTTGCATGGACATCTCTACACAAATTGGGATCTAAAGTGAGAATTTTATATAAAACACATATCATTGCTTAGGATTGTTGTTTCAAGGGGAATCTGATATGAATCTTCTCTCACAATTATATATCTAGAGAGGGTGAATACGTTATTCAATTTAATGCACAATTGATTACTAATAAAAACATAAGTCACCCCAATTACCTCTTTTCACAAAGATTTAGCAATTAATAGTCATAACTCATTTTCAATACCACAACCAACTTAACCACGACGATTGATTTTAATTAATATTGAATTAATTCACTCACAATCAATCTCACAACAATCTGAAAACCCAAACCCAATTGCATAACTATTTATGGATGAATAGTCAAACAATCAAATCCAAAAACACATACTGAGCGGTGTGCAAACAATTACAATTGTATACGATAAACAATAAATAACACACGGGGGAACCACTCAGGGTTTATCAAAGCCTCCTCCGAAAAAACCACGGGAAACCACTTGGGGTTCATCAAAGCCTAATCAACTACTCTCTAAGTCAGCGTACAAGTACTTGAGACTTATACCTAAACCAATACCATGGTTAAATGGTCCTTTATTTGATGTCTCTCCGCCAAAGACCCTTCTTTGATATCTAGTATAGCTTCACTTGGACCTCCCCGCCATACCATTCGTCTAGTTCTTGAGCAATTATGAGCACGCTAACGATCCTTGGCATGCACACACACACCAATGGGGATATTAACCATCAAGATCTTCTTCTCTAAGTAATGAAGTTGGGTAGAATTTCTAGTGGTAGCCTTTAAGGTCTTAGGGATCTAGATTGTGGTGAAAGTTCTCAAGGTAAAAATATGATTTTCTCACTTACAAATCTTACAAAAGGATTAACCTAGGTGTGAGAAAAAAGCTTTTTTTTTTTTTTGTAGGTTAGAAAATAGGGTAGTCTTATTAGATGAGAAAATTCTGATTTGCGAATGACTGCCCGATTAGTGGATAGGCGGTTGTCACTGGAATGAAAAACACATTCCAATCCTGACTAAGGTAAGCACCGCTTGAGCAACAATGAAGGATCGCTCAAGAGGTTGTGAAGGATCGCTCGAGCGAGCTTATAGAACTAGCTCTGTCCTGCCTTCCATGACCTTTTTTCATTTCCTTCCCTAAGTCATAAAGAGACCGCTCTAGCGAATGCAATGGAGCATAGATCGATCCCTATGAGTCATACTCAGGTTGTTTCTCAAAAAAAGGTTTGATTGTCACTTAAACTATGTTTTCAAAACTCATAAATGGTTTAGAAAATCTTTTTCTTTTAAAATTACTTATGAGTCATAATCGGATTGCTTTCAATTCTATATTCATGTTAATCAACCTAAGCTAAAAATAACTAAGGTGTATACAGAGGTTGAATGATATTGTTTTGCACTTGATCTCCTTCCTTCAATGACGCTTTCGGATTTTGAACTTGATAACATCATGACCATAGAAAAGGTTTAGATTCACAATAGACTCTATGCAATTAGCCAATTACAAATATGATCTAACAATCTCCCATTTTGCCAATTTTGTGTCAAAATACACAAGTAGAAATTAAAATTATAACTCAAAACCATTGAACAAAAGAATTGTAAACTAATGTCAACTCTCATATAGTACAAGGATCTAATTTTTTTTTTATGAAGCTTGAAGATTGTAGTCCTGCATATCACCATTCAAA